AATGGAGCCTCAATTGAGAAAATGCCTCCATAAGATCAGACTGTAGGCAAATGGTAGGGCATTTTTCTTAATCAGTGATAGAAGGGGGAGGACCCAGTCCATTGTGAGTGGTGCCATCCCTGGGCTGGTAGTTCTGGGTTCTATAAGAAAGCAGGCTGAGCAAGCCATTTGGAGCAAACCAGTAAGCAACACTCCTCCATGGCCCCTGCATTAACTCTCACTGCTTTTGATGATGAACTGTTATATAGACCTTATCTTTCACTTCTCAGTCAGGCCTTGGACCTGTGAGAATTTGGTAAAACCTTTCCCTTGCCTGGGTCAGGTTTTGTTGGTGAAGGCAGTCTGTAACAACCTAGGTTGATGGTAACCTGGGTCATGCTTGAGTTTCACAGCCTCAAGGACCTACATTCTTAGGGATGAACAAGGACCATGCTACAGCTGGGGGTGATGCCAGAGGTGATGCCAGCGGGGTTCAGGTCCCAAAGAGGAGGTGTGGAGTCTGCGAGGGGAAGGAGGAGATTGACAGGATCTGAGGGGGAATCCGGATAGCTGCCCATTTATTGAAAAAATTAATACACCTTTTATACTCTATAATCACACAAAGGATTAAATGGGAAAAAGGATGCATGTGAGCTAGCTGGTGGCTTGTGATCAGGAAGCTAGTATTGACCTTGACAAATTAATAGGCACCAGTCATATATTCATGGAAGGGCCACAAGTTCCTCTTGCCAGTTAAGAATGTCTCCCTTTTTAGCAAACAGGAACTATCTTCAAGCCTCTGAGACAATGGTTTTGTTTTGTTTTGTTTTGTTTAAATGCTTGACTTAGGAAAAGGGCTTTCTCAGGGAATCAAGTGCTCCATTATAGAATATTGTAGTTTTTTTTATTGCTTAGTATTTGCAATAAGGCCAACAGTGACTGCCAGAAATCCTGAACAGTCAGACCCAATGAAACCAATGCTGAATTCATAGCCTTTATGAATTTTATCCAAATAGCTAAAGCTTAAAGTGAGCAAAGACAAGGCCAGACAAACATTACTGTGAACTTGAGTAGACCTTAGGAATTTATAAATCTTGATTATCAAATATACCTTATTTATCAAGTGTATATTACTTATCTAAATTTTCTAGTAGCTTGGTGTTAACTTGTGCAGGAGTAGGCAGAGTTATCATGTTATATGGTTCCACAGTGACAGGGATTTTTTTTTCCAAAGGATTATTTTGTTTAGAAAGGCTGCCATTTTATACATTTTCAACCTTCAAAGCCCACTCAAAATTTCCCAAAGGAAAAGGCATAATAGTGAGAACAATTAAAAATGAAAGCAAAAGGGTGCTGGAGAATCGTGATCCACAATGTCAAAATGCTGGGACTTTGTCAAGCACCAGTGGTCACCGTACGGTCCACACCAGGGTAATGTATGCTGAAACACTCATCTGGTCCATTGGTGCCCAGGTCTTAATCTGAAGCAGGGCTTGTGTGTATGTACTTTGTCCTGCATGAGAAGTTTCCACTAGGTTCTGGTTGTTACCATGTCTGACAGTGAGCTCTAAAACAAGTCTACCCCCTCCCCCAACAGCAATTGGTGTCTTATTTCCTGCCCTGCTACCTGGTGTTGCAGAGGAGAGGCGAAACCTTCAGCCTCTCAGCATAATGTGGTTCTGGTAACTCAGTCTGTGGATACTGGCTTGGTGATGGGGTTGTGGCAAGTAAGTCTCACTATGTCAGGCCTGGTACAAGGTTTCAAGCCTAAAGTGTGAACTTAACCATTCACACTCCCACGTTGGAGGCACCACTCTTTACACTGGAGTGGCTAGAGGTAGGGTGTGTGTATGTGACACGGACAACTATTCCTTTCTGTCTTTGTATTTTGTTATAATTTGTCACTGTGGTCTCTCATTGGATTTTCTTAGGTTTTAACAAGGTAATTTGGTGTGGGGAGAAGATACTGGAAGATCTTACTTAGCTAACATCTCGTCTCCCTCCGTCTTACTTTCCTCTTAATGTGCTTCATTGTTAAGAACCATTTGTCTAACCAGCTCTCTCTCTCTTACTTTATTCTCTGATCCCTTCTATCCCCATTGCACTCTCTTTAACTCAAGGCTGCCATATTGATACCTGCAGCGGCTGGGTGATGCCACATAGCTTCCTTACCAAATGGCTCCACTTACTGCTCTAGGTTGCTCTGAGGTAGCTACTTAAAGTACCACTATATTATAGTTTACCTCAACTATATTAATGAAGTCACATCTTGATCCCAAGAGAGGTTAAGTGCAGACATGTACCTGGAAGGCATTGTTAACAAATTTTAGAGAGCACCCTTGCAGACACCTTCTGGGTGCTAAAACAGCGGCAAACATTAATGAGCACTGACCACAGTGCAGTGTGCCAAGTGCTTTGAGAGAATTGTGAACCCAGCTCTGTCATAGGACACAAGAAAGGCTATGAATTCAGCATTGGTTTCATTGGGTCTGACTGTTCAGGATTTCTGGCAGTCACTGTTGGCCTTATGCTGTTGCCTCAGTGTGCTGGAACTCAGACTTTTTGTCCCTGTGATAAATACCTGAGTGAACAAATTTTAAATTGGGAAAATTTATATTTGGCGTATTTAAGAGTTTTTATTTCCTCTCTTCTTTTGAGATGAGGTCTCATGTGGCCCAGGCTGGCCTCTGATTTGCCATGCAGCTGAGGATGACCTTACATTTCTGATCCTTCTAACTCTAGCTCTTGAGTGCTGAGAGTACAGTTGTATGCCACTATTCCTGGTTTTAAGCAGTGCTGAGGATCGAACCCAGGGCCTCATGCATGTTAGGCAAGCACTCTACCAATGGAGATATATTCCCAAGCTTATTTCAGAGGTTTTAGTCCATGGTTGGCTTGCTCCATTGCTGTAGGACTATGATGAGGCAGAACATCATGGTAGGAGGGTATGATAAAGCAAAGGTGCTTACCTTTAGCATCTGGGAAGCAGAGAGAGACAGTCAGGAATGGGGAGATACAGCCTTCGAAGATGTGTCCTTAGGGACTCACTAACCAAGCTCCACCTTTGTGTAGCTGATTGATGAAGTTAGTGCCCCCATGATCCAGCTGCCTCTCTATGTCACCAGCTGAGGACCACTCCTGCAGCACATGAACCTTGTGTGTGTGTGGTGGCGGGAGGGGACTTGATAGCCAAATTGCAATGAAGTGAGTCACATCAGTAAAACACATGGTGTTTATAACTTTGTGATTAAAAATTATCCTCTAGAAACAGGGCATGGGGGAACTTCTGTCGTTCCAGCTACTCAGTGGGATAGTGAGTTCATGGCCAGCCTGTGCTACATAGTGACATATTATCTCAAAATCCAAAAATGAGGGTCTAGGAGATGGCTTAGTGAGTAATAGCACTTGCTCAGAAAGCAAGAAGACCTGAGTTCAAATCCTCAATGCCCATTAAAAAAGCCAGCCTAGCCCTACCAGGGAGTTTCAGACTCAGTGAAGGACCCCGTCTCCAAAACTAAGACAGAAGGCCAGAAAGACAGCTGAGTAGGGAAAGGCACTTGCTGCACAATTGTAACAACCTGAGTCTGATCCCTGGAACATACAAAAAACCAAGCATCTGTAATCCTAGTACTACTAAGGTGAAATGGGAGGCAGAGACAGGAGAATCACCCAGAAGCTCACAGGCTAGCTAACTTAGACTACATAGAGTAAGAGTAGTAAAAATTTGTTAACAATGCCTTCCAGGTACATGTCTGCATTTAACCTCTCTTGGGATCAAGATGTGACTTAATTAATATAGTTGAGGGTGACTATAATATAGTTGTACTTTAAATAGCTACCTCAGAGCGGCCTAGAGCAGTAGAAAAAGGACAAGAGAAACCCTGCCTCAAAAGATGGAAGGAGAGAATCACTTTCAGAAAATTGTTCTCTGGCTTCCATATGTGTGCTACAGCCTGAGTGTGCCCCCCCCCCCCCCCCCCCCCCCGCATCTCACACACACAATCTCTCTCTGTCTCTGTCTTTGTCTGTCTCTCTGTCTCTGTCTCTGTCGTCTCTCTCTCTCTCTCTCTCTCTCTCTCTCTCTCTCTCTCACACACACACACACACACACACACACAAATAAAAATAATGTGGAGAATGATCAGCTACCAACATCTACCTTTGGTCTCCACATGCACAAGTACACACACCTGTACACACATATTCACATACACTCTGATATAAATTTTATTAAAAGGTAACTGAACCAAAAATCTCCGAGTAAGGCCAAATCAGTTGGCTTCTAAGCCATCATTTTGCTGTATGGCTAGGGTTATTTACTTATTTTTTTTTTTTTTGAGGCAGGGTTTCTCTGTGTAACACCCCTGGCTGCCTTGGAATTCTTTGTAGCCCAGGCTGGCCTCAAACTCAGGGATCCATCTGCCTCTGCCTCCTGAGTGCTGAGGTTAAAAGCATTTGCTACCATGCCCAGCTTAAGTATTTTCTAACTTAACTCTTTACCTATAAAAATGAGGATAAAACCTTCATAGGGTTTTTGTAACACTTTTGAAACTTGCCTGTCACATAGTCAGTAATCAAGAGATTCTAGTTTGGGGCTGGAGAGTTGGCTTAGCAGTTAAGAGTGCATGCTGCTCTTCTAGAGGGCCTGAGTTCAGTGCCTAGCACCCTGTAGGACAGCTCACAACTGTCTATAAACACCAGGTCTAAGGGATCCAATGCCCTCCCTCTTCTAGCCTCCTGGGCACTGCCCTCATGTGCACAAACCCATACACAGACACACACGCATATACATATTTAAAAAAATAAAAATAAACCTTCAAAAAAGATTTTAGCTGTTATTGTTGGTCTGTGAGTTTCTCCCAACTAGAGGGTGGATCTTGGGGACAAGGAGAAACAGATGGGGATCTGGGCCCCTCACATTTGCTCCCAGATCCTTAACTTAAGGAAGTTACGGGCTACTGCCCACACTGCTCGCGTCTCTCACTCTTTCAGGCACCTTCAGACCAGGCTTTCTTTCCTAGGCTGCTCGGATTCTACTAAAAACATCACCGGCATCTCAGGAAAACTTCTCTGGCTGCAGCCTTCCAACATACAGACAAAAAATGTTACTGTTCGATGGATGATGATACAACCTGGCTCACCTGGGAAAAAAGAGATCCTGACTTGGAAGAATCATGAACACCCAAACTCACCTAAGTTTTCTAATGGTCTCAACAATATATATTATTTTAACACCTCAGATTTTACTCTTGGCATCAAGTCAGCTAAGTTGAAAGACAGTGGTCTTTATGAGCTGGAGATCACCAAGTCTAGTGGAGCAGTTTGCACTAAGAAATTCCAGATTCTTATACTTGGTGAGTTTTTAGCACTGCTCACTCTGCCCCTCTAATTCTTGTAGGACTTGTGTTTCCAGAACCCTCTGACCAGAATCTCTGCTTCCAGATCATGTTGAGAAGCCTCACCTGCAGGGCCAGTGGGTCTGGGAAGATGGGATGTGTCAACTGTCTCTGTACTGCTCGGTGTCCGAGGATGACAATGTGAGCTATGCTTTGTACAGAGGGAGCGAGCTGATCTCGGAACTGAGGAACTTCACCTACCTGGAGAACGAGACTGACAGCAGCCTGCACACTTATACCTGCAATGTTAGCAACAAAGTCAGCTCGGCAAGCGACACTCTGAACTTCAGCCAGGGCTGTCAGAGTGTCCCTGAAAGTAAGTGGAACACTCTGGCCCACAGCAGGGATTCCACAACCAGCCTTACCTGAGACCTGGATATGAGGTCACATGACCTTCTGGCCCAGTGCCTTGAGCCCTTCCTCAGCAGGTGCCCGGCCTCTCAGAGGCACAGGTCTGTTTTAGCCTGCTAGGATTCATATCTTCCTCGTCTACTGGAAATAGTAGCATAGTTTTCCCTCCTCATAGGGAATACCTACTTGTTTAGTGATTTTTCTGATACCGTAAACATTAATTTCCTAATTTGAGAGTTTGGAGATCCAATTTCTCCTGAGTGATGTCTTACCTCAAGCTGGAGAATTTTCTGGGAGATAATAACACTGTACCACAGTAACCTTGTCAGTGGGAGCAGCAGAAAAATGACAAGGTACCTAGCAGAGTTCTGCATTTCTTGCTTATCTTGAGTTACCTGAGTTATGGTTGTATCATTTTTTATTAGGTAAAGGCTTAATGTGCTGTCAACATAGGCACTTACAGGAAAACCAATCCAATTAAAACCCAACCCAACCTACCCAACTCACCCAAGCCCACACAACCCACTCAGTCCAACCCAACCCACCCAACCCTACACAACTCACCACCCAACCCAACCCAACCCAACCCACTCAACCCAACCCACTCAACCCACCCAACCCAACCCCCATCTCTACACAACCCTACACAACACACCCATCCCAACCCAGTCAACCCAACCCACCCAATCCACCCAACCCAACCAACTCAACCAATCCAATCCCACACCACCCACCTAAAACACAGACCCCACCGCACCCCAACCAGCCCAACCCAACCCTCAAAGTCTCTATTCTTAAATTTGCAACAGAAAATATGTGTAGCTCCTTACTTTGGGCTTTGAAGTAAGTATGAAGTTTAGGTTCATGTAGTGTATTTTCTTATTTTGGAGTCAGGCACATCTCCCCTTTCTCAGAGGAAAAAAACCATTGAAAGACAGAAGGAATAGGTTCTCAGAACCTTTCCCTGGAGCACCCCTTGGGTTCCCACAGGACTGAAGTATTCCATGAGCCACATTCAGGCCTGGACTCTGGATGTAGGTCTACTGCCATCCACTTTAGGCACAAGGACCACCTGACTGGCATTGCCACGGGTGGAGCTGTCAGGGAAGTGCAGCCTTGCCATGACAGTGTCCTGTACCATACTCCATCCAGTGGCCCATGCCTCTGAGACTCCTCACATTAGCGGAAAATCCCAAGTGAGTGCAGAGTTCCCAAATTCTTACCAAGCAGCCCTAGCAAAACACCCAATTCTTAGCCCCCATTAGCTCATTACTGAGGGAATAGGGAGCCACTCCAGTAGGAATTCCAAGCTAAGGATCCCTCTGTGGAACTACAGACCGGAACCAGACTAACTCCAAGTGTGGATACTGAAGGAGAAAACAGAAGTCATAAACTAATGCTATGAAGAATCTCTCCGCCAGTAAGTTTGCTTAAAAATATTAAGCTACACAGAAGAGCATGCAGCTGAAGCGTGTCTCTACTGGGCAGTTCAAAGGAGATGATTCAGGTCACTTACAGCTGCCCACTAGGTTCTCTTTCCAGATCAAAGGAGCCTGCCTCTGCTGAGAGGCAGGAGAAGATGGCCCTGGCTGAGAGCTGGTCCTTAATGCCCCCTGCCTTTTATCAGGAAAAGCACAGTTCTGCTAGGCAGCCAGGCTGACTGTGGTTAACAATTACCCCAGCAAAGCAGCTCTGGCCTAGCTTGAGATAACTGAAAATATCTTTTCATCGTAAATGTCCCCAAGCAGTCAAACTTGCCATTTCTGTTTCTGTAAAACATGTTTAACGGCTCAGAGTTTTTGGGACCCCAAAAGATTTACAGATGAAAGCATGTGTAAAAATACAATGCTATAGTTCGAACCTATATAAAATGTAAAGAATTTCTGTTCACTGCCGGTTCCCCTTTGTGCATTAGCCAGAAGTGGTTCCATCCTATTATATAAGAATTTTCCATTACAAAACAAAAACAGGAAAAAGAAAAGAAGAGAAAAAGAAACTTAGAGCAAAATGGGGCAACAAAACTAAATTATTCTTGGGCAGAAAAGAAACAAACAGGAATGAGGTAAAGTGTAGTAATAAGAACACTGGTTTGGGGGCCTCTACCGTCATTGCCTCATCATTTATTTACTGTGATCTCAGGCAGATTCATTAACTTCTGTTACTTTCCATTTTTCAGCTGGGCAAATGAGAGTGGTAATAAGATGTACCTTACAGGATTGTTGTCAAGGTCAAGTGAGATATTCATGAAAAGCTCATTAGTGGACACATGTAGTGTGAAACTCTTTACCGTTCTCTTCTTGTTGGTTGGATTATATAATAGGGTCCGTGTGTAACACAAACGGTGAATGTAGATGCTCAAGTGAGGAAGAGCAGTGAGGGCAGGAGAACCAGGAAGGAGAAATGGAAAGCTTGTAGTAGTAGGTGTATGATGAATATTTGCTGAGACAAAAACAGTAGATAGATGTAATAGTTGCTATGCAAGATGTTTCATAGGTACCAGATCATGCAATTAGCCCCTACAAGGAGAAAACATTATCTCCTTTCTTCAGGTAAGAAAATTGCCTCAGAGAGGTAAGTAAGTAGCATAGGTCCTCTGGAGTAGTCTGTCACCCAGCTAAGGAGGGACAACAGGATGGCGAATTCATAGAATGTGGGAGAGGACAATGGATTTGGGGATAGTTGTTGAAGCTAGCATATGGGGAAGTGAGAGCTCAGCCCTCCTATCTTCTGTGTCTTTCAGAAGTCACATTTCTGCCCTTTGTGGTGATCATCGTTATTCTAGTCATACTGTTTCTCGGTGCTGTCACTTGCTTCTGCTTGTGGGATAAGAAGAGAAAGCAGTCACGTAAGTAGAAGACCCCCGAAGGGGTGCGGTGGCTTGAGGCATCAGGTCCAGTGGGTTGACCCTGTGTCCATGGGCTATACTCTACACACAGCTTCTCCTTTCCTGGGAGAGGTGTTGGGATATGTGTGAATATGGGTGGGGAGGGCAACCGACACCTGTTCACACTAGCTGGGGTGGCTTCAGGATATTTATAGCACGGTCCCCAATGTACTGGTTTATTTAAGGTGCTGGGTTTGGTTGGTGACTTCCCAGCTTGGTGGAGGATGTATATTAGGAGTGGGTAATTGCTTCTACTGTGCTCTTTAGGTATCCTAGCAAGAGCATGAGCCTGCCTGTTTTCTAGGGCCATTCCTAAGGTCTTCACCATCCTTGGCAGAGGCGTGACTTGTGAAGTAGAAGCCTGGACAAGAAACTTTCCTAATGTTTCTGAAGTTCTAGTCTTTATTTTCTTCCTCACACAGAATCTGGCCCCAATGAATCTTCAACAGTATATGAATATGTCAATGACCCACAAGTCAGGGCGAATCAAGTAGGGCATTCTAGGACCTCAAGATCTCCTTCAGCTGTCCAGGAAAGTGAAAGGGGACAAAGAGAACCAGACAGGTGTCTTTTCGAGGTAATCTTCAGCCCTCTTCCATCTGTTTTTCTATCAGTTCCCTTGCTGTGTCCAAAGGGAAAAGAGGGGAGGAAATGGAGCAGAGAAAATGAAATTGAGGCAGAACGGGCATCCTGGTGCTGAACTGTATCTGCTAAGAAGGGATGGGACTCAGCAGAAATCAATAGCAGAGGCCAGAATGTGGCAACTACTGCCTTCCCAGAGTGCACTCTGGCATCATCCTCATTTCATCTTAGTCTTAGCAGCTGGGCTGAATGCCAGGATGAGTGCAACCTTCATATATTTATTGCCTGACCACATTCCCGAGATTAGAAGACAGGAGCTCTCTGTCGTGGTTCTCTCAGTCCCGGCCCAGGCTAGGGAGCATGAACAGCCAGAGTGTAAGAGTTCTGGAGATTCCTCAGGGTTCTGTGTTCAAAGCCTATTGGGTAGGAGCCCAAGCATGGCTAAAGCAGTAGACAAGACAACCGGTTTGATACAGACCTCTCTCTTTCCAGCTCTCTTCAGGACCTAGATCTTCTAGTCAGCTAGGAATGTAGAGTGGACGGAAACTTCAGAGGGCCTGCAGATGCTCTCAGTACTGTATTGCAGGATACGATGACAGGCTTAGGGGAAAGCTGCAGATCAGCCAGGTAGGACAAGCAGGAAAAGTAGGTGCAGATCAGCCAGATGGAAAGGGTGGTAGGAGTGGAGAGGAAGGGCTTTTTTCTTCCCACCCCCATGTCTACTGCTAGGCAGAGAGAGACACATGGACTCTTTTCTTCTGTCACAAAACAGCTTCCTTCAGGTCTGTTTCTTAGCTGGCTGAGGGCAGCTCCCTTTGCCTTCTTCCTTGTCCTAGCAGTGGAATACTGGACCATGGAAACAAAAAGAAGATGGATTTTCCCACCGCTATTAGGTCTTAGGGCATATGTATCTACCCAATGCCCAAATGCTTATAAAAAAAAAATTAGCCTCCTCATTACCCCAAATGAAGATGACATTAGAGTAGGTAAAGTAAGGGGGCATAGGAAGAAAAGTTATTTAGAACAGAAGAGGCCTCCTGGGGACTCAGGCTGTTGACTACCTTTTGGCTTGAGGTTCCTCCTGGCCTGACCTCAGCCGGGCCTGGTGTCTCTTCACTATCTCAGGGTTTTGGCTTGAAAGCCTCCACCCCAAGTTTCATGTGGTCTCCCTTTGGGTCACAGATTCAACCTTTCTGGAGATAGTTTACATGGGTCTGGACAGAAGTAAAAACAACAAACTCCTGTTGACTTTCTAGCTGCTAAGAAAGGCTGATGTTTCTCTGCTTCTCAACCTCCTACTTCTGGAGAGCTCAGCTACTGAACTCTCCCAGTCTTCCTGATCCCCATGAGAGCCCTACTTGACATTGTGTTGTTAAAGACATCCAAGACAGAATACTTCCATCTCTAATTGCCTGTGGAGCAGGCAAAAGGGGAGGGAAAGAAGGAAGGACCATGTGTTCTCTGACCTTGCTGAGACCAGGCTTTCACCCGGCATTATTACTTCTCCAGGGTTGGACTGAGGCCCAGATTAAGCTGACCGTGAAGCCTGGATCTAGAGAGGGCCTTAAGACTGCCACATCTCCAAAATGTTTTTACCCTCTGAATTTCAATGTCCAGAAGAGGAAATGTTCAGACCACAGATCCACCTAGAGCTCTGCCCATTTGTCAGTGGTTGTGTTGGCATAAAAGTCAGCGAAGGCAAGAAGGGAGTTTTACATTACTAAAGGGAAGGAAGAGGCAGGGAACCTGTCAGGTTGTTGACTCCTAGGTGGTTACTTGCTGCTGGTCCACTGAAAATCACTGTTCTTCCCATCTCTCCTCATTCTGGGATGTTTGATGATGAGGCTTTCCTAGTTTTGCACCTCCCTCCTTCCTGGAGGCCCCTTCATTGTGATGTCCCTCACTGATCAACCCAAGCCTAGACAGAGATTATTACATGTCTCTTCACTCTTGTATGCAGGAGCAGATGCCGGAGCAGAAACCCCCTGGAGATGGAGGTACCATCTACTCTATGATTCAGTACAAGGTACCCCTCTGGCCTCTCTAACCTATCCCATTCCAGTATACGGGACTTCCCAAGCCTCACTTAAAACACACCGTTGAAGGGAGAATGGAACATTGGGGTTCCTCGGGGGCCGGAAAACAGCCACGGGTGCTTTAACAAATTGTTTGAAATGAGCAGCACGCTCAGAGTGTCTTGGCAGTGATTTTCATTCATTCACACCTAGCAGAAGTCTAGGCCAGGTTGTCTGTAGGAGAATGAACTTTGTTAAAGGAGTCAGCTTATGTTTTTCCTCTGATTCAAAGACCTGGAGTCCTTGTATTGATTATCCTAATAGTACCACCAATCATTATCTCTATTAAGGAAAGAGTAGATGTGTATTGGTCTTAAAGAATATTATTTAGACTTAACAATAATGGCCATTTTCTTAATAAATCTCACATGACAGTCTTATGAAGTTTACAAATGAGGAAACCAGGACTCAGGTTAACTGATGTGTTCAAGGCCACATAGCTGAGTAGTAAGGAAGTTGAGCCAAACAGTTTCTCAATTGCCATCCTATCTCTTCCTGCCATGACTCTAACTCCAGACAATATTGAAGCTCATGCATGAATTACTACGACCTTCTTTAATATTGGCAGATAATATGACTTCATTGATGACCAGGGTCAGGAGTTCTCTTCCAAGGGAAAATATTGGCAGATAATATGACTTCATTGATAACCAGGGTCAGGTGTTCTCTTCCAAGGGAAAATGCTTGGTAACATGGACAGCAGTGAAAAGTTTCTCATAAAAACCTTCTCTTCCTGTCATCTCCTCTTCTCCTCTCCTCTTCTCTCCCCTTCACTTTCTGAGGACCAAGTCCAGGAACAGCAGCACCCTTAGCTTGTTGGCCAACTTGTATCACAAATAAATATATCCCGAGAGTAATTGATATCTGCTAGCTCACGAGTTTTAGCCATGTTGAGCTTGAGAGAGAACAATTTGAGTAAATCCAAGGAAAGACTCTTCTTGATCAGGGTGCTGAGTGAGAATGAGATTCCTCCTCTGGATTATCTTACCAGAGAGATAGTTGTCTGCCCTGATAAATATGCATTTCAGGTCTAGAGAAGGGAGGCATTTCCAAAGAGAGCCATTGAACTGTTAAGGAAACTGGAAAATTTTGGGCCTGAATTCTGCTTCTGTTGTGTAATAGGATTATTTTTCTTCTTGTTCCTGTTTGTTGTTGTTGTCATCATTGTTGTTGTTGTTGCTGTTGTTCTTCTTCTTCCTCCTCCTCTTCCTCACCCTCTTTCTCCTTCTTTCCTTCCTTTCTCCTCTTCCTCCTCTTCTTCCTCTTCTGTTTCCTCCTCTTCCTTATTCTTCCTCTTTCTCCTCTTCTTCTGAATCTGTAACCTTGTCTGTGGCAAAAGGAACATTCCTATTTTTTAGGAATAACATAAGGGTTAAGAAAGAAAGAGTACAGATAAAATAAGTATACAACAAACAGTGGTAACTGTTGCTAACAGTAACAGTGGGACTAATGTCAGGCCCTATCCCAGGCTGTTCCAGGCTTCTTCTCATTGATAAACAGATCTTACATTTAGGCAGAGTTGAGGCAAAGGGTTATGCTGGATCTTTATTTATGAATTTTTTTTATTTTTTCTTATTAGCCTTCTGATTCTGCATCACAAGACAAATATACACTATATTCAGTAATCCAGCCTTCCAAGAAGGTGAGAAGTCTATTCCTTTGGAGGGTTTCATTGAACAGATGTGTGTACTCTACTGTGTTTGCAAGTGTGTGTTTGCAGAGCATGTGTACATACCTCAGTGAGCTGTCTACTGTTCTGTGCAACTGAATAACTTCATTAACTTCTGTTAAATGATTATATCTAAGTGTTAAGGGCCTAACAAGGAGAAACGCCTTCCCAGTTCTGCCTGTGGAAAAAGAGCAGTTCTGAGATGCAGAAAACAGTGCATTGTAGGATTTTCTTAGACCTTTTGTGGTAGGTAAAGGGCAGGGACAGAAGTCAGGACAGAAGGATTGCAGAATTGTTACTAGGACAGCTGAGGTTATGGTGAGAGCTACTGGAGGGGTTTCTTAGGTAGGGGCTTGCTGCCTGGAGCTGGCAGCAAAAACTAGAAAGGCATAATATTGACCTCAAAGACCAAAGGTTCTAGCCAGTCCAACAAGTGGAGGCTCCTGGACTGAAGCTGCCATCATGACCCACTCAAGGCCAGCTCCAGTCTCAGCTCCCAACATGTCTGCAAACACAAAGCTGTGTGTCCTCGGGCTCATGTTTATCCATTTAATAGGTGCAGGAGGGAATAGGAAGGGTGGCACTCTCCTAGCTGGAATGACAGAGTAGAGCTCCAAACAATAAGTCAGCAGAATGGAGAACTGGAATTCCACAAAACTGGGAGTCTGTGCAGGTCAGGGACTGTGGTTTGAAGGGGTTTAGAACAAGTTTGCAGATTTCATTCATTTTCTTCTAAACCAATCAGTCATCCAATCCACTTAGATTCCACTATGAGACATACTTATTTTTTAATTACATGCCACAATATAAGCACATATAACTGCTCATAGGCACTGTGGCATGGTTTGATATTATATTATAAAAATCTTAGGGCTGATGAGATTGGCCAAGTATATAGGAGCACCTGCTCTGCAAGCCCAATGACCTGAGTTTGAGTTCTAGAACCCAGAGTGGAAAGAGAGAACTGATTCCTGAAAAGTTGTCCTCTGACCTCCACATGCACACGGCTGCACACATGCCCATACCTACACCATACACACAATAATAAAAAATTCTACATACAACTGAAATCATAGCTAATGATTCATAGAAGCACTGTGCTGTGCTCATGATATATGCTAAGGTTAGCACACATGTGTATGCCAGAGTTGTTTATATTCGAGGAGGGTGTATTGAAATGATGCATGGGTTCAGGTAGTATTTATATTAGGATTGTCTGGGGGACGTATGTTTATGTTTGTGAACACTAGGATTGTGTGGTTGTGGATTGTGGGGCTGTGTGGGTACAGGTACTAAATTCTGACTTTAGCTCAGAAGGATACATCATAGGCCAGAACGTATTGTGCTTCTCTGGGTACCATTAAGTACCACTCGTTGACTCCTGGCTGGAGGGCTTTCTCTTTGGGATCTTGCATGTGAATCAGGAGCAAGACATTTCTTATCTTAAACTTACACCTTCTTAACCTCAATTTCTAGTCTGGATCCAAGAAGAGGAAACAGAACCCTCCCTCAAATTGCACTGTGTATGAAGAGGTAAGATTCAGGAACTCTCCTTCACAGTGGGTTTAACGTCTGTGGACTTCCAAGACCCAGTCAAGAGTATATACTTATAACAAGGTCATCTATACAGCCCCAGGGTTTCTGGGATATTAGGGATCCCGTAAGAATACACTGAGGTCCCAGAAGACGGAAAGTCTAACTCAAAGTCATATCATGCGTTCAAGGCTGGGAGGCTTGGATTCTAAACTAGGGCTGTCTCCAAGCTAGTTAGTTCCTTGGTTTCAAATCATTTCCTAAAGTTAGGAAGTTATTGGGAACTATTTCAGAATGTGGGTGATCTCAGGCTTCTGTAGAAGATATTGTTCAAAACTGACACTGAGTCTGGTAGTTAACTGATGCCCATTAGGTCTATATGGAAGGAGGGAAGAGAGACACAACATTTATTAGGGTTTTCCCCCTAAGCTATAAGGCAAATTGCCAGTGGATGTTCATAAATTACCTCATTTAATCTTCACAGAATGCTGTAAGGTAGGCATAATATAATCATGCCCTTCATTTATTCCTTTCAGTGCTAGGGACAGAATGCAAGGCCTTGAGTGTGCTAAACAAGCACTCTACCACTGAATTATTGCCCAGCCTCCATGCTTGCAGTTTATATCCAGAGAAATTAATGCACAGAGAACACCCCAAGTATTAGCCTCATACTATAATCAAAGCACCCGGGTGTAATAGAAATGTTATCGTTAGTCACAAGGGAGAGGCTGTGTGTTTGCTGGTGGGAATTCTTAGCTTTACAATGGTAGTCCAGTCTTAAAGCCAACTTCACAATCCAGAGTTGCAGAGGAGACAGTATGGGCCAAGCCAAGCTGGAGGCCACAAAGAAGCATGGAGTAGTTTAAAAAAAGCACCAGAACTGACTGGAAGAACGGATTCAAGTCCTGCTTTCACACTAATCACTGGCCTTGAGGAATGTGTTATACCACTCTGATCTTTTTTTTTTTTTATTAGTCTGTAATGTAGGGATAGTAGTTCACACCCTACAAGATTATTTTAAGGATAGTCCAGAGCGAAAGTTTGAAGTGTCTCCTTTTCCCTGCAGGTTGGAAAGCAATGTCTCAAAGCCCGCACCCCTGCCCGACTGAGCCGCAGGGAGCTAGAGAACTTTGATGTTTATTCCTAGTTGTTACAAGTGTTTTCACCCTGTGTTATGCAGCAGCATTGACTTTGGAAGGGAGCACAGCAGATGATGGTGATGCTGGATGAATCTATGGAACAGCTCCCAGGTTGAGAGGACGTAAAAGTTTTTTCATGGTTTATATTTTATATTTTATTTTATCTCATTTTTTTTAGACAAGATTTGACACAGCCCCCAAAGTCTGAATTTGTTAAGTAGCCAAGGATGACCTTAAACTTTTGATCTTCTTGCCTATACTTCCCAGATTCTGGGATTACAGAGCCATGTACCACTATATATGGCTTGAAAATTTTTAACAGCCACTGTAAGATCAAGGTTGTTAAAAAGCTCCCAAGCTTACAGACCAGACAAGAGCAGGTAGAGAGGTTGTGTTGGCCACACTCTGAGACGTTGTAATCCATACAATGCTGGATTGTATGGGTAAAGGGGGATTCCCTTCTTGTGGTTCTCTAAGTTGTTATCCCCCCGACACCATTAATATGGGATGTCTGCATTCTAGAGCCTCCCCCTGCCCACAATGAGAGATGGTGACTCAGAGGAAAAGGAGGCACAGTTCCTCTTTAAGGCTGTGCTGTCTGGCTGTGAGCTAGCTGTCAGTTCTCCTAGGGAAGCTGGTGTCTCTCGGCTTCACTCAAATTCGGGGAACCCCTGATCATCCCACATCATTACTTCTGGTCAGTTGTTCGCAAGGGAGAGCGGGAAGAAGTGAGAGTAGATGGCGCAATTCAAGCAGGTCTCAGACAGAAGACTCACCCAGGGCATATGCCATCCTGATAATAGGTGGTCAAGATCAGTGTTGCCCACAGTGTGATGGTTGCTTTACAAAGTCCTGTCACCAGAAATTCAGAGTCCTGAGGAGTACTCTCTGTGATATGCCTGGAGGGAGGGCTCAGACCGTAGGTATCCAAGTTCAGAGTGCTGAGAAGTGCTCCCCATGAAAAACCCTGAATGGAGGGCTCAAATAACTAAAAGCGGAAGATGGGGCAGTTGGTTACCACACACTCCGCTATCCATCTTCAGCCTAGCTCCTTCAGCAGTGCTGGGGGAGCAGGACTGAGGGGCTGGATGAGTTCAGGAAAGTAGCAACTATGAACTAAGAGAGGACTCACTCAGAAGCTCCAACAAGGGGCTCAACTCAGAGTTTAGTTTTTTTTCTCTTGCCTCTGCTGGAATTAAAGACACATACCTTCATGCCTGGCTCAGAGACCTGTTCTTCAATTGTTCTTCAATTATCATGGGAGTTTGACATGAAAATTTGGTCTTACACAGAGGCAATGTCAATCCTTTGCCTGAATTAAACTGATGAACTTCTCTGTATTCAGCATGTGTGGGTCATTGATTAATATTCATTAACATATCTATTTATATTCTGCTGGAGGTGGGGCTGACTTTCTGTCTAGCTGTCAGTCTTGTTCACACAGAGATAGCAGAGAGCCAGAAGCCTGGGTATTCTCAGCCTCATGAAGGACAGCCAGGCCATGGGGCTTGCTTGTGCTTTGCCTGATCCCTGATCCCTCTTTCCTGAACATACCTATCATGCTGGCTTCCCCATAGATAGAAGCACAGACAGAGCACATTGTAAAGCAAGTGACAAGGGAGGAATATATTTTAAAAGAGTCTGTGGTCTTGCAGCAGATATTGGGAGTAAGTCAAGGAGTTTAGTGAACAAAGACAGTAAGAAGTAATGGAGAGAAGGCTCAGTGTTTAAGAGCACTTGCTGATCTTCTAGAAGACCCAGGTTCAGTTCCCAGCACCCATATCAGATGGCTCACAACAGCCTGTAATTCCTGCTCCAGGTAATCCAACACTCTCTTTGGACCTCCACAGTTACTGCATGCATGTAGTGTACATACATACGTGCAGGCAAAATGCTCATACACATAAAAATCTTAAAAAATGATGGAGTAAGAACAGTCTAGATGAACACTAAATATACTATCTTTGATTTCTTTTTCTACAATAGTAATAATAAATAATAGTGTGTATTTGGGGATGCACGGCATTCATGTGGAGATCAGAGGACAACTTTGTAGAGTTGGTTCTCTCTTTTGACCTTTTCATGAGTTCTGGGGATCAAACTCAGGTCTCCAGGCTGTGCAGCAAGGACTTAAACCCACTGAGCCATCTCACCAACACTATCATTGATTTCTTCTGGCATTTGAAGTGTCATGGGCCATGCAGCTCTTGAGAACAGAAGAAACTCTAAGGCCTGGGCTTTTTGGAAGGCTGTGTTGCGGAGTGTGCTGTGTGTGTATCATCACCATATTGTACGTCTGATTGCTGTGCTCTTGTCGTAATGCCTCACAAAGACAATGAGACATACAACTAACTAATGAACAGTTGGCAATTAAGATCTGGAGTGTGAAGCACAGTCTGAGTGCCTAGGAGCACCCACGTACCCACTACAGGGCACAGCCATGGGGATTTCAACGTCATTAGCAGGACAGCAGATGAACAACATGAAAGGACCGAGGGCAGCAAGGTACGTGAGACGAGAGTGTATACCGCAGTCACATGACTGTAAGTCACACACACTTCAACTTACAGGTAGGGGTCAGGTTACAGCCAAAACCTGGTGAGAAGAGAGATGCTCTGTTCCTTATCCAGTCTGAGAATAAGGAGGGAACTCTTTTGGGTAAATACAGGTATCTTATATGACAGAGGCATTTTAAGCTTTTTTTTTTTTTGAGACAGAGTCGTACTGTGCATCACAACATGGCTTCAAACTTGTGATCCTTCTGCTTTAGCTCCTGTATGGATATTACAAGCATGTGACACTATGCCTGGCTTAAACATTTTAATGAACTATCAAAATTTGTGCTGGGGAGATGGCTCTGTTGGTGAAGTGCCTACCACCCAAGCAGGAAGACCTGGGTTTGGATCCCCACCACCCATTTAAAAAGCTGGGTGTGTCAGTGCACAAGGATAATCCCACTGCTGGGAAGGGGAGAGGGGGTATGGGGTTTGGGAGGTGGGAGAGAATAAGGCAGAGGTATCCTTGAATCTCATTGGCCAGTCAGTGAGGTCAAACTGGTGAGCCTCTTCAGGTACTTGCAGATACCCTGGCACAAACACACACACACACATATACCTGTAATTTAAAAAGAAATAAATATTTACAAAAGAATTATCAAAATACTAATTCATAAGTAAATTTTTTAAAATCAAGCAATACAAAAAAAAGTATTTAATAAAAAAAAATCTCAAAAAAAAAAAAAAAAAAAAGCCGGGCGGTGGTGGTGCACGCCTTTAATCCCAGCACTCGGGAGGCAGAGCCAGGTGGATCTCTGTGAGTTCGAGGCCAGCCTGGACTACCAAGTGAGTTCCAGGAAAGGTGCAAAGCTACACAGAGAAGCCCTGTCTCGAAAAACCAAACCAAAAAAAAAAAAAATCTCTTCAATCTAAGATTCTCAGTCCCTCCTCTGGGGGTAGCCTTGATTTTGTATTTCCATTTAGAACTTTGCCATGCCTATATAAACATAGAGACTTAGGTTTTTCTCATCCATCTGGTAGCACAAACTATATACTATTCTGGACTTTGTTCTTCACACTCAACAATGTATTCCACATAGCATATTAGTCTTTGCTTTCTTTACAAGTTTGCCACTGTTTGGGAATATACCATGTATTTAACCACAGTCTCATTAAGTGGCTATTTAGGTTTCCCACTTTCTATTTTAAATGATATTGGATTGAACATTGTTTCACATAGACCTGTGTGCCCCTGTGTGAAAATACCTGTTGGGTTCATTTTGAGGACTACTTAGAAGATGTGTGAAGGATGGTTAGTCTTGGTCTCCTTCAACAACATTTGGTCAGAAGAAACCCTGCATGAGTAGTCTTTTGGGGATGCCCTGTTCTAGAATGTTCTGTATACAACACTATCATAATTGTGTATCTGATTGCTGAACTTCTGCCATGATGCTATACAAAGACACCTGCAATGAGCCTACAAACTGACTGTAATAGTCAGTGTTCTATTGCTGTGAAGAGACACCATGATCATGCCAACTCTTGTATGAGAAATCATTTAACTGGAGCTAGCTTACCGTTTCAGAGATTTAGTCCATTATCATCATGATGGGGAGTATGGCACACAGGCAGATATGGTGCTGAAGAAGTAGTTGAGAATTCTACATCTTGATCCACAGGCAGCAGGAAGAGAAAGCCACTGAGCCTGGCTGGGCCTTTGAAACCTTAAAGCCCACCCCCAGTGACACACTTCCTCCAACAAGGTCACACCTCCTAATCCTTCTCAAGTAGTACCACTCCCTGATAGCTAACACTTCAAGCATATGAGCCTAAGAATGGGGACCACCACCACATTCCACTCCCTGGCTCCCATAGACTTATAGCCACATTATAATGTGTAGTGGGTAGCTGTTCCAGCTTTGACCTGGAGGTACTACCTCATTGAGGCTTCCAGTAACTGTCATGCCTATGAGGCAGGGCCGAGACAGGAGCCCTTAAGACCTGAGATCCAGATGTGCCAGCTCTCTTGGTTCCTGGATCCTGGACCCTGGAGGTAGACTGAGCAGAGTTCTCCAGAGAACACTGCTAGACTGCACTACACCTCTCCCGGACCCTGCAACCTATCCCTTTACTTGTAAGTTACCCCACAAAATAAACCTCCCTTTTAACTACACGGAGTTGCCTTAATACTTCAACCAATAATAATGTAAAATGCATTTAGTCAAACTTCAAAAGTCCCCATAGTCTATTATGTTCTCAACACTGTTTAAAAGTCCAAAGTCTCTTCTGAGACTTACGGCAATCTCTTAACTCTAACCCTCTGTAAAGTCAAAATCAAAATCAGATCACATACTTGCGGCATACAATGGCACAGGATATACATTATCATTCCAAAAGAAGGAAAAGGAGCATAGTGAGCAAATACTGGAGCAAAACAAAAATGAAAACCAGCAGGACAGACTCCAAATTCTGCACCTCCGTGTCTGATGTCAAAGAGCTCTTCAGATCTCTAATTCCTTTCAGCTTTGTTGACTGCCACATACTTCTCTGACTTGGGTTACATATCCAGTCTGCAGCTCTTCTTGCAGGTATCTCATGGCTCTGGCATTTCCAACATCTTGTGGTCTCCAAGGCAATCCAGGCTTCACATTGACAGCTTCATGCAATGGCTTCTGTGGGCCTCCATGTAGGGACACCTTGACACATGCCTGGCCTCAATGGCTTTCCTTAGCTATAGAGGGAGATTCTTCCCTTCTGATACTTCCTGAGCTGGGCTTTCACAGTTCAAATCACCCTAGGTACTGTTTTCTGTTCTACCACTAATATGGTCCATTAAGCCCCAATTACAGCATCCAATTCTTTTTCTAGTCTAAAGTCCTGAATTCTTCCATATTCTTCTAACAAATAGCATGGTCAGGCCTGTCACAACAATACCCTGCTCCTTGGTACCAACTTATGTCTTAGTCAGTGTTTTATTGCTCTGAAGAGACACCATGACCAAGGCAACTCTTATAAAAGAAAGCATTTAATTGGGGTTCACTTACAGTTTCAGAGGTTTAGTCCATTATCATCATGGTGGGGAGCATGGAAGCACAGAGGTAGACATGGTGCTGGAGAAGTAGCTGAGAGTTCTATATCTGGATTCACAGGCAGTAGGAAGAGAGAGACACACTTTCTCCAACAAGGCCACACACACCTCCTAATCCTTCTCAAGCAGTGCCATTCCCTGATGACTAGGAATTCAAGAATATGAGCCTATGGAGACCACACTGGTCACACTTAAGCTCCCACTGAGTATAAAGCTTGGCCTGAACCTCTGGGCACACCTATGTACACAATGCAGGGCACAGAAGCCACGTGGATCCAAGGCCATGTGCAGCAGAGCACTCTTGGCAGGGTTTTAGTTCAGAGGAGGAACTCCATGGGTGAATAGAGAAAAAGCAAAGATGTTTAAAGTCTGTAGGTTCCAAAGAGCCTCTGCCTGACCTATATATGGCTTATGAGGTAATAGGGATCAGAAGAAGAGGAAGAGATCAAATTCAGGCAAGCCTGAGCCACAGCAGGAAATTCCAATGTGTTCTCTCTGCAGAAACAGCAGGATTTATGAGGTCTGTCTTTCTCCCAATCCACACCCCAGGAGAGAGATAGCAGCTGCTTTTCACTTCAGGTGAAATTTTCATAGAGAGAGTGTTCAGGAGGCTCAGCATCTTGCTGAAGAGTTGACACCATCTAGATGAGTGAAAGAACACACAAGAACAAGGTTAACAGAGCCGTGGAGAATCTGACTCTTTTTAGTTTGTGCTGGTGAAAGGCTAGGCCAGGGCAAGGCTGATCAATTTCATAAT